CAAAGCACTGATGCCTAGATGCCTCATGAACTTGGACCGGGCGATCGAGAAATGACCGACGCCAAACCCAGAAAACCCGAATTGCAGAGCCGGAGTCCCCACTCCAAAAGCCGGGAACTTGTGTTGGCCCGGTCTGCAAGCCACTGCTTTAACGCATTCGAGCTAGGCTAGACATATGTATGTATGGATGTATGTATGTATGTATACATATGTATAAAATATATATATATATATATGTTATGTCATATAAACGTATAGGCTCGTAAAATTACACTTCTAGTTTCAAAAAGGCTCTTCGAAAAGCTCGAGCTTGCGCGAAGCTGAGGTGTGAGCCCGGTCCGGGAGCGAACCCAGGCTCCGAAGAGCTGTAAAGTACTGTGGAGCCAACCGTAGAAAGATAGGCTTTAGGGTTTGATTAGGCTTTGGGGTTTGATTAGGGTTTAGACTTTAGGGTTTGCTTAGGGTTTAATTGGGGTTTAGGGTTTAGGGTATAGCGTGGGTTGATCAGACGAAACGTAATTAGAAATATTGTTAGCGTAACTATGTGCAGTGAGGGCAAAAGAGGCAAGGCATTGTAATCCAGGGGGGTCGAGCAAAATACAGAATCCGTTCAAGCAGGAATCAGTGTTCGAGGTGTTTTCTGGTACGACCTTCTTTCGAAGGTTAAGAACCCTCAAGCACCTGGTTGTCAGCATGTTTCGATAAGCCATGTTTTGTTCGTGTGTCAATTCAAGCTTTCTCGCCAGGCTCGCCCAGCCAGCCCCATCCCGGAAGCATGCAATACAGAAATCCCGGGCATGTCTTGATTCTGTCCGTTTGCTGGTGAGCATCGTTCAGTTCCAAAGTTAAGTGATCCACATGTGGACCCCAAATGCTAGGATCATGCTCCCATCTAGATCCCACGTCGTTTGCTATTTGTCATATGGAGAAGCAGAGCTAGAGCTGAATTCGAGTACATCATCAGCCCTTTCAGCGTGCACCCTTCAGCGAGCAAGGCCGGCAGCGCAGCTTCACGGAGGAATGGGTTCGGGTCCCAAGCATGTTGGCGCCCTGCGGCCTGCAAGCGACCTCTCGGTTCAGCAGGGAACCCTGAGCTTACGAAGCTGCCATTACCGTCTAGGGGCATTGTGCTGGTATCATTCTTCTACAGATTGAGCTACACGTGCACGGCTACATTGCTGCGCTAGCCTTCTTCGCAAAGGCTGTCTTTGAGATCCCCCCGAGGTCTGCTTCAGCTCGGCAGCTTACAAGAGGTGGGCTGACAGGGACGCTTATTTTTTGGTGCTCGCGAGTCTGATGCCACTTGCAGGTCCACAGAGCTTGGCAACTTGCAAGTAATCCGAAGATGTTTGAATTTGTGAATCAGGCTGAAGAAAACATCGGTTGATTGAATGAGTGAGTGAGTGGATGCATACATGGATTGCTGGACTCTGAATGGACGGCTGGTTGAAGGAACTGATGAATGAATCACTGAATCAACAGCCTTGCGGCAGTCTAAACAACAACGGTGAAAGATCTCCACAAAAATGCCTATGAGTGCACACAGAAGCAATAAACCGCGAACCCTAAACCCGAAACCCTACAGACTGAACACCACCGAATAAAGCCTAGCCTTCAGCATGATAAGCACAAAAACGCCCCTAAACCCTAAACCCTAAACCAAAAGAAAAGAGCCCTGAGACTCTGTGAGTTCCTGGCGCCAGGCCAAAGCCCAAAGCGGCAGGCCTCGGAGTCGAAAGCCCGGAGCCTACCATCGCTTCGGCACCGACCCATTTACCTCGCAGCATTCTGATAGTGGTGGTTTAAGGATTAGAGTTTTAGGGTTTTAGGGTTTAGGGTTCGTGTTTCGAAGTAGTCTGATAGTGGTGGTTTCAGCAATGTCCGTATGGTCAGCAGCATTCTTTGTCGTTCTTGTGTTCACTGTCCTACTGCTAGTTAATGTAACAAGTGGCTCCATCGCCGATTCCAATATTCGTACGACTCACTCCCTCCGTGTTCCCTTTTGTAAGGGTTGCCGTGCTTCACCCGTGAAAAAAATGTCGCGAAGCTGTAGATCCGGCCCCGGCCTTCTTCCAATCCAGAATTGCAAATCAGAAAAGCCCACGGCGAGTCGGACAAAACAACGAAGGGCAAGGCACATTGCGCAAATTCAGCATCGGTAGTGGTTTTGGCGGTGGCGGGTGTGGCGGTCGCGCGGTGGTGTTCGTGAACATGATAGCGGAAGTATCTACCATATGGGAGCAAACTGTCAAGCAGTCGTCCGGAGCCTCTCGACACGAACATTCGCCACGCAAGGGGAAGGATATCGTGTGGTGTCGGAGGAAGAAAAAGCCTTTGATTGACTGCCCAGGTAGGCGGCTCGCAAGGCCAGCAGACTTCCAGTTGCAAGACCTGTGAATTCTACATGGTACTGCGGCAATATAATATAATATAATATATCATAATATAGTATAATACGATACAATATAATAGTATGTAATAGTATAGTATAATATAGTATAGTATAATATAGTATAATCTAATGGTGTCAGATCATGTGGAGGATTTGAGCCTTGCAGGCTTAGAGGCGGCCAGCGCAGAGGCCTGAAACTCTCGGCGGTACCCTAAACCCTACCCCTTGCTGTTCTGAAAAATCGATGCAAGAAGTCTGTGTCTGACTCCCATGTGCTGGTACTGCTATCTGCTATCTGTTCTGAGTGTTTGTTCTTGATGGTTGGCCCTGCGCGGGGCTGTCTTCGCACTCCGGCTCACATCGCAGGCTCCTGCGGAGGCGCACAGCGGGTGTTCTTCTCCGTTACTGGACCATGTCCGCCTTTGCACAAACCTTCGGAAGCCCTGCCATGTACTCTGCCAGCTGCCAGCCCAAGGGCTCGTGCGGGGGACTGCTGAAGTGCAGGAGAGTGGTCGATCTGCAAGGGCATTGAATCAAGCTGAGCATCATGCACTGCAGCCTTTTGGGCTGATAGTCGACATGGCCATGCTATGCCTCCATGCGGTCATAGCAGCATCGCGCACGGCAGCAGAGTTCGTTTCCAATGCCACATGTCCAGATCGAGAAAGCTCCACATCGGAGCTCCACGTCCCCTGTGCTCTATTCCAGCCGAAGAACTTGAACCCCTACTCCCTAGACCTCACTAGACGGCTGAAGATATCACGCGGCAAAGCATCTCCACTACTCGTGGTGGCAGCCATGGCGGCAGACTTGGCAGAAGACCAAGTGCCGGGGGAACGCAGACAGCACAGAGTCAAAGCCCAAAGTTCAAACCTTTAGCAGCCAACTCCGTCGAAAAGAGTCGAGGACGGCACCATGGCCGCCAATTCCGCCCTTCGGGATGAGAACGAGGCCCGCATCGGTCACAAGTATTTGTCATGCTAAAGTCTGGCGCAGATAGTACATCATACCGACAAGTGAGATATCGTGGCATTCATAAGTGCTCTCTGTTCTACATGACGTGCTGTTTTGGCATTCCTCGCAATTTGCCTGTATGAACGGTTTTCGTTGGCTGCATCAGTTTGCCACTGTCCGAAACATGACGAGTCACCTTCCTCAGGTACCACTCCCTTGCCTTTAGTCACGCCTGCTTGAAGCTAACGGATGCGGGCTGTCCGATGCATGGGTTCCCCCTTCGGGATTCATGATCCTTGGCAACTTGCCCGCTTGAGCCCTGAGCAATCCCTGGTTCGACTGCCTTGTCAACGCACTTGTCAGGCTCTGGCAAGCCTCATGGAAGAGGCTCGGCCAGTAGGCCCCACCCCAAGCTGCCTACATGTCTATGTCTGTGATGTGCCCTAGGTCCACAGCCTGGCAGAGCAGTGGCAAGAAGTTTGCGCTCGTGCGCTGGGCACCTGGCTTGTCGTTTCCCGGCACTGGATTATTTCTTGCAACGCCTGGCGAGGAAAACTCATGGCAAGGACACCGTAGCGGCCGAGCTGCAGGAGCGGCTGGCCGCCCTAACCTTCCAACGTAGTGTTGCAGCGTCGTCGCATGGAAGAGATCCACCAATCGCCCCGATACTTCGATGACCAACACAAGGGCCTCTCAAGAGTGTTGAGCTCACCTCGTGGTAGTCGGTGTCGACTCAACGTCAGCACCCAGCGGGGAGAAGCCACACATGCTCACTCTTTCCATGTACCACCCGTTGGACCTTTCCCGACCCAGCAGGCTACTCGGCACATTGGCGAAAGCAACGCTTTTGCAACAATCTGTTAGCCCGGAAGGCAGCAAGGTTTGGTTTGCGCTGCAGGTGGGGCGGAGATTGCAATTGTAATTCATCGTAGTGATGCGGGCTGACCACGGCCGTATATCGCTCCTGATCTAGACTCGACAGCTGCAGTGTAAAGCTTCCGGAGTGCCCCGGCGCCTGGACACCACCGGCTGTGTTTTGCGGTAGACCGGTGTGGCTGGAGTTGCTGGAATGCCACTCCGAGCACACCTTCATGTCGCGAGGTGCCCGTTTTCACGATCACCATGTCCTTCTTACGCTGAGTTTGCTGTTCGTTCCATTCGCAGGAGCTCCGGGGGCAGCGCGAGATCTTGCAGAAGCGCCTGAAGGCGTTGGAGCAGGGCGCCAGGTGACTCGGCCAAAAAACAGATAATAGATCCCAAGTAGATCCTTGGTTCAGGATCTCTCCACAAGGACACTAAGAACAGAAAGAACGCCCGATCTCGGTATGGAAGTGTCCACGCACTGCCTCGTACAGGGTTGGCTTGGGGCTGGTGTCAAAGACGTAGCACCAGATTGCTTTCGCAGTCAGTTCAGCGGCTCAAATGCGTGTACCTTTGTCGTGCACACCTATACTCCTTAAGCTCCGAGCCTCACTCCGAGCCCTCACGATCAAGTCCCTTCCAGGCCCGCCCCGGAGAAACCCACCGACGATGCAAAGCAGACTCAGCCGACGGTCGAGCACTCAGACTCAGCAGGTTTTGTTGCTGGGCATACGTGTTGTTGCTACTTTGGAGGTCGGGTTTTCGATTGTTGCTGTTGTCCTCAGTGACTCTTCGTGTTGTAAGGGCACCCATCCTCTCATCAAGCAGGACAAGTCACAGGGAATGTGTTTTTTTTGTCACAGTCCGCGCAAGACGTACGCGTACGCAGAAGCGAGCAAGGGGTAGACCAGAAGCTGAGAGAGTAAAAAGCTCAGCAACAGCACACTCCTTTGAGCCCTGGCAATTTTTAAGAGGGGGGATGCGGGTCCCGTCCCTGTGGCACAGCTGAACTTCCACAAGGCGCGGCAAGCCGAGCTGGAGACTGCTAAGGAGGAGCAAGGGAAGACTTCTGGTTCGGGCTGGCGGCTAGCTCGAGTAGGTGGTCCAATCTATTCTAGTTGTGCCAGAACAGAGAAGGCAGAAGCTGCAAGGGTTGTGCATGTTGTTCACATCGCTGGCGGAATGTTTCAGTGCTCTTCAAGAGCAATTGACTTCACTCTGAATCCCTCAGCACGAGGGTTCACGACTTATGCCTATTTCGTGACCAAGTACGCAGCACAACTCGTGTTAGGCTGAAGGTTGGCAAGAACCAGATGCTTCCTGATCATGCGCCGCTTGAAGTTTTCACGCGCCTCGTGGTCTCAGCTGGGGGGTGCATTTGGGTAGTTCTCACTATTTTGGGGACCTAATAGGGGACCCTAGTTTGGAGAACTACCCATCTGTAGTCCTTGCTGTCGCCAGTTCGATGAGAGCCAGGAGTCGGAGGTCCTTCGATCGCAAAATCGGGAGCTGAAGGAGGCCATGGCCAATAATAGTAACAATAATAATAATTACTATTGCTATGATTACTGTTAGTATTATTATTACCTTATACCTCCGTATACTGGTGCAAGTGATCCGTTTTCCAGAGCCCTTGGGCTTCCCTTCTGTTCCATGCCAGCGGGGATAAATAGGGGTTGGGCCGAAGAGGCCCCTTTTGTAGCGCCGTCTCGGGAACGCTTCGCCAGTCATTGTGCAGGCCATTGCCCAGGCTCGGTCAGCGATCCGAAGGAGGTTGGCCGGGTCCCGAGCCCACGTTGGGGTTTTGAGGCTTCCTAGGGCTGGAGGTTTAGGGTTTCAAGGTTCGTGGTGGAGGGGTGTTTGTTTCGGTTTTTGAGGTTGTTGGGGTTTAGGGCTTAGGGTGGGTGCCTAAGCACCCAAGCTTGGTTCAGGAGCACCTTATCGGTTTTGCAAAACCAAGGTCCCGGGGGATCGCGAGCTTTCAGAACATGCCTAAGGATCGGCACTCCGCTGAAAACACGGCGCTTGTCATAGACAACGAGGCAGCTGCCGAACAGGGGTTTCCGAGGGATCTAGGAGCCGGGAAGCCAGAGGTAGGTGAAGCTCCGAGGTGCTTGTATTGGTAGCGGCTACGAGTCTACTAGCTGCTAGCTGCTAGCTAGATAGATAGACGCATGTGGTGGTGGGTTTCACGTGGTCTCATGTCGCTGCTGGCTGCTACTTCGCCAGACTGAGCTAATGCCCTTATTCAAGCAAAGCAGATAGCCTGTCCCACAGTTGCTGAGTGTACCGGAGTTACTGTGAAGCAGCCGGCCGTAGGCTTGTGAGTACTGGCACTACGAAAAGGTTGGTGTATCACTTCCGTCGTTGACAGTGTGGTGTCTCCAGGTTGACACCTCTGAAGTTGTTTCTCAAGCACTGAAAGTTGAGCTTATCAAGCGTACCGAAAGCTTTCTGCACCTAGAATTCCCTAACGCTGTGAGATCGTTGCTACAAGGTTTACTGTTATTGTTTTCGTCGTCATTGATATATCTATCGAAATTAATGGTAGGATTGTCCTACGACTAGTACTTGTAACATTCATCTATATTGTTCTTATTCTTGTATTCCTGTTGTTGGCATCAGCAGAAAGATGCACTCTGAGAGTTCGAAAACCGGGGCCGAAGACTCCTTTGCATGGCACAGGACCTTAGCGGGCTTGTGGAGGAGGCTGGATGCATGGGTATGGAGGGGCGGGGGGTCAAGACTCTCGTAGTGAGAGCCTTAGTAGGGGTTCCTCCTCCTCTGTGGCCTCGATGTGCGGTTTGCTTATCTTGTTGTGGCGAGGAACTTCCAGGTGTATTGGGAAGATTTCCCAACATCAACTTCCAGCTAGTTCTAGGCACCAAGCTCGCCAGCAAACTGAAGCTTCATGGTTTTGCAGATGTTCGGAGTGCAAGATCTGATATGATCCAGACGTCAACATCATCTGCTTTGACTTGGAGGATGTTGAACCAATATCGAGGCCTCATTTCGGATTGTGCAGGTTCAGAATCTCGCCGGTCGCTGGCAAAAAGCCTGGGCTCGCGCAGCAGAGCGCCGGTCTCGGCTTCTGCTACCACGGGACCACGGGCATTTGAGGCATCGTGGATCTGTGTCTTCATCTTGTCTGCGTCATGACAAACCTATCCGAGTATGGCTGCGGAACTGCTTGTCTCCCATTACAGGGATCATCGCAGCACTGGCACAGGCAAGCGAGAGTGCGCAGCTCAGGACTGTTGAAGGTGAGCGCAAACCCAGCATCGATGCCGAGATTGAGGCACAACTTGTTGTCGGTTGTGAGGACGAAGACTAAGAATCCTATTGCGAGTGTACGAGGGAGTATTGCTGTTACCATTGCTGCTACAGTACATACTTACTGTAGTATGACGGTTCAGAGTTAGTTCACTAGTATTATTGTAATTACTACTACTACTACTACTACTGCTACTGCTACTACTGCTACTTGTAGGCTTGACTCTGCTCTCGGCCAGGAGCTACGCTCCATCCGCAACCATGTGCGCGACCGCCTGCTGCAACTGGAGCCGAGGACGACGGCTGGCGATTGCTTCTCGGGTTTAGGGTCGAGGGTTGAGGGAGGTTTCGGTTGGTGAGGACGATGACGAATCTGAGGGCGTGTGATTATTCCAAGCTCTACTTATTGAAGCTACAGGAGGCATGTACTAGTACTATTGAATTGTCTGCGAGCTCAACAATTCAGAGGCTCGAGAACGGGCTGTTCTTGCTCGCAGTCTTACCTTGCGCGAGTTCAGCTCCTTTTGGATGCTTGACTTCGCCCTGACATCTTCGAAGGGAAGCTGGAGGTCAATATTAAATATTCTCTCAGCTGATGATCTGCACCTCTTCATTAGCAAAACTAGGCTGATTTCCGCAAACCCAGGTGGATGGTGGGACCAGACGAGTAAGACTGCTGAAGCCATGGCCGACTGAACTCACATCTGATGCTTTCTCTAATCCGCATGGTACGAGTAAGGATCCTGCATGGATTCGAAACCCAACTCTACAGAACCCCAGCCACAACGATCCATCTCAACACCGCAAACCATCAGTCCTGGTCGGATGATGCCCGGCTGCGCCCAGCCCTCGGCAACGAAAGAAGTGGGCTTGGGTGGCGCTGCGGGAGATGATATTTCTTTGCAGTTCGGGGGATCTTGTCGTTCTAAACCCTTCCGTGGGAGTGGGCGTAGAAGTTGAAAGACGCCTTTTTGCATGCTCTCCTGCGTAGACATTCAAACCAACGCAGAGCATACCCGAGTCTTGGGCAGTCGCAAAGGGAGCTTCAGATCACCCGTTGCCGATGCGATTTCTTCGCCATGGTCTGTCCTGGAATTGGCATTGAGCGGGCTCAGAACATCGATGCACTCGGGTCCTCCTCGCCTGAATATCCCAGCCAAAGTGCCCTGATCGGCGGGAAGAGCCGAACTAGTAAGAAGAGCAGGTGCAAAGCAACCAAGAACATCGAGAAAAGCACAGCACCGACCAGAGCCATGAGTATACTCAGACCAGTCAGATGCTTCTTGAGCCCATTTCTCCGTGCAATCAATAGCTACAGAATCTCCTACGCGAGGCCTTGACCTCCCCTGCCACGTCACGTTCACCGAGCCTGAGCTCTCCGATGGCGGAGATGGTGAGCTCTTGAAGCCTGGGGGAGTCTTAGCATTAGCATCATTAGCATTCTTCGGAATTTACTCGTATCAGTATTTGTGTTACCAGTAGTATTAAGGATAGTCGTTGTAGCAAAAGTAGCAGGAGTGTGGAGGATGGGAAAGCATGAAGCCAGTGCCAGTCGTGGTGATAGTGATGTTTGGGAAAGTCTCAGTCGGTGCAACACTAGCAAAGGAATAGTACACGATCGAACATGCAATAGTATTCAATAGTACTTGTCGCTGTTGGGTGATTACAATCTGTGCTTCCTCAAAAAATGATACCTGTCAATCAGCGTTTCCTCAACAAAATGACAGCCATCACAACTGCATAGCCGATACGGCGACTAGCATTTCGCGATTCCTAGATACGGCTTAATGGCCACGGATATGAATTCTTCCGGCCCCTCTCACGACTGTACAAAACTTTCCTTCAGGATGATGATCTGGAATAGCTTTGCGTCCGTAGCTCGCCAAGTAGTGCGATTGCAGCATCAGATCTTCATAGAGATCTCTGTTGCAACCCTCTTGGATGAAACAGCAGAGACATGGGTCAGCGGTGGCCCGGTGGTTGTGTCGATCTGTGGGATTGAGCAGCTGCCTGATTTTCAGTTTTCAGAGTGGACGGCCAGTTTGCAAACGCAGCTGCCTTTGCTCTTGATGGTTCTCTCACCAGGGCATTAGTCGGACATTGGAGTTTGTTTGGATTGGAGCCCTGGTGTCAGAAAATCAGAAAGGCCCGGCATGTGCCAGGATCTTGACTCCAGCTCGGCTGCTCTCCACCAAGTGGAGATGCACGCTCGTCCAGGGCATCTTCCGGAATCGCGGCTGGCAGAACAATCCTGCTCTAGGGACAGGGAGGAAATGCCACGCTCCATCCTGGCTCATTGTGGGGCAGGACGTTCGGCCATCGTTTCCCGACCGACGAGATTCATGAACTGCCCAAGGCAAAAAAGAGTCTTTTCGTGGAGCCGCGTGCGTCGACGAGCATACATCCGGGCACCGGGCATGCAGCCGGCGCAGCCTTGCTGCAGGTGCCAACCCTGCCCCTGCCGAGCCGGGATGGGCAGCGGGCCTCGGAATCTCCGCAGAACGCAGCAAGATCCGCACCTCCCAAAGCCGAAATCGACGTCTCAAGTCTCAAACGTCAGGGTGACTTTCAAAGCCCCGAGGCAGCTGGCCAGCCTTGGGACCGCGGAGGGTCTGAGAATGTCTCGGAGCTGTCGTTCTTGCTTCGGTGTCCTCCAAACTGACCCTCGACAGATGGCTGCTCGTGTCCTTGCACTTGTTGCTTTGCAACATCTCGCCCGACCAGATGGTGTTTCAAGCACCAAGTTTTGTAGGGCAGATTCAGCTCGAGTCGCATGTCAGACCACGTGAGACAGCATCAAGTACGCAACATCAGTTAAGTTAAGATGGAAACAAACTCACACAAGAGTTACCTAGAAAATTGGGGACCCCACTCGCAAGGATCCTGCTCATCCTACCCCTATGGGTTCGATATGGTTCGATAGTGAGAGTGCCGTAGGTTTTGAAACTCCCAGACCGTTTCAGTCACCGAGCGCTCGAGAGCGCCGTCGGAGCCTCGGGGCGGAGACTTGTGGTTTGGTCTGCACTTCCTACTCGAAGTTCGAGTTCAGTTTAGGATGTAGGGTTCGGGTTTAGGATGGTTTCGGGTTTGGCGCTTCGTATTCAGGTTTGGGGTTCAGGTCTCTGGTGTCCGACAGTATTTAGAGGTCTTTCTTTGGGGCTCCGTAGAAGAAGGATTATATAAGATTCTCTTTCGGGGTGCCGTTTTGGAAACAGGTTCCCTCAGTTGGAGTTAGGACCTGCCTTTCCTTTACTGCAAGCAGCATGATTCTGTGTCGCATAGAACGAAGCGAACACTCAGCTGCACAACTAAGCGTTAGCACCCGGAAGCCCGGAAACCCTCAAATCCTGAAACCTGACTCCGAGTAATCGACTGGATCCTCGAAGGTACGCGCCATGCGGGGCCCGCAGCCGCAGCCAGTGCCGAACTCGTTCTCCTCGCAGACGCAGTCGCTGGCCCAGCCAGATTGCGGAGAGAGCATGATACAACACCCCGGGAGCGCTTCCCTTTTTGACGTATATTTATTCATTACATATATATATATGTATATATATATATATACACCACACACCCACTGTATATAAACATTCACATGGTAGGCATGTACATTTCGTATACAAATATGCATACATATAACATAGACATATACCTATACATACATACAGACAGACAGACAGACAGGCATGCAGTGACATATAGTGACATACATTTAGCACAAGCATAAAAATAATAGCAACACCAACTCATCATACGACTAGTAATAACAACAATGATAGTAGTAACAACAAGAATTCTAATAATGACAATAACAATAGTAGCAATGATAATAGTTATTGCATTTGCTAGTGACAAGCATCCACAACATATATGTGACCATGCACATGATCACATGTAATCATGCATTGTTTCTATATATATATATATATTCTAGGTACATATATATATGTATATATATATATATGTGTGTGTGTGTGCATATGTGTATGTACTTACTTATACAGATATATGCATAGATAGGCAACAATTACAGACATACAGAACAGACAGATAGATAGGAAGAGAAGGAGAGGCTTGTTTATGTGTTTATTTGTTTTGTTTGCGTTCTGCCTGCACACACAAGTTGAGTTCACAGACGTTTGCCAAAGCTCAGACACTGTCTGTGACGTGCCCGGCTTCAAGCGAAAATAACCCTGCCCAAGACGGCAATCACCTAGCCTGAACCACGAAAGCATCAAAGCAGAGACGAGCCGCATATGCCTGCCAGGTCCTGCATTACAAGCTACACAGTGTCACCTGCGGAACAAGAACATGAGCAGCCGCCCTAAATAAAGCAGTTGAGATAGAGCATTTCTTTGGAAGCCCCGCGTCTCCTCCGGGCACGCGCTGTGCCATTGCCGTTTGCAAGATGGACGACGGAGGCCCGAAGCGAAATTGTGAGTTTGGAGTTCCAGAATCAAGCCCAGTAATCGCAGTGATTGGAATAGCAGGTCCGGCTAATTCGGCGCCAGGGAGTGAGACAGCGTAGGGGCACTGAAGCATGTAGCTCTCTGCAGACGCAGGAGTATAATTGCAGCGTACTGAAGGGTACTCTGGCAAAGCCAGACGTTTAAGCCATTATGTGCAGCTTTGACTCCTCGACACTCCACCTTAATCCAAAAACCCCTCTCCCACATCACCCAGAAAAGGCCCTGTAAATGCCCATAGATACAGCAGGCTGGTGGGCAGTGGCACGTCCTGCGTCAAGCCCAGAGGCCGACACTAGCAAAGGAATACGGTTTTTGGTGGGACACTTGGACTCGTACAAATACCCGTTTGGCCATGTTCATCGTCGTGTGTTGTGGCTTTCATTGGCATTGCCGCCTTCATGCTACCTGAACCATTGAGTCTACAACCGTGGCTGCTGGAGCCAATATTGAGAGAAAGGGTGAGACTGCACGACAGCAGGTGGGTGAAGTGTCGCAGCTGCCGGCTGGTGACTCCCTAGTGGCTCTAGCAACCTGGAAGGCCTCGCAACTCGCCAGCCTCTTCGCAGCCCGGCCTTCGACGCGGCACTTCATGAAAGAACAGTACCGCCACTTGACGGTGCGACCCAAACTCTGACACCCCGACTGTCCGACGTTGCGTCCAAGAGCAGCGCCCCCAGGGGCTGCGAACTCCACAGCCCTGGGCCAAGGCGAGTCTTATCCTTTTCGGACCTCGGCCGATGCCAGGTGCGCAGTTTCCGAGGAAGCGGACAGGTCGAAGTTCCAGCGGTTTGCCTAGGTTGAGGAAAGATCCGGTCAGCCCGGGAGCTACGTGTTGGAATTGTTCCGGCTTTCGACTACTATCCTTTTCAATCCTCGAAGAGTATGACCGCCTCATCCAATTTCCGAGACGAAGGCCCTACTCCGAGCTATGAACTTATGGTGACCATCATGGTTCGTAATCTACAAGATTTCCCATGCCTTGTGAACAGCAGTGACTTTCGGGTGTTTTCGCGCATGACTAATCTAGCAGTACAGACCCCCTCAGTGCACGGGGACGGTGCCGAGGGAGGCGACTTGTACCTCGCGGGACTTCTTCCCTCTGTCTTTATTCTGGTGGCCAGGTACGAGCTCAGGCGGCAAAACATTCCGACGACAGACTTCATGCGGATGTTTGAGGCACAACGGCCGCGGGGCTGATGTGTCGTGTTGCAGCTTAGCAACAGTACAGAAATGCTTAGGTCGGCAAGATCTTGCACTGGCATCATGTGACTCATGAGGTGTGACAGCAGACTAGCCTGGGAGTGGATCCACTCCAGCTGCCAACTAGTTGTCCACGTGATTGAGCTCCTTCGTGCACGCAGCAAGCAGCGGAGCCACACTATACCGATCGATGCAAACGTTGTCTATGCCACAATTACGGCTCCGCAACGAGACTTGGCCACAGTTGCAGCCGTGCGTAAGTAAGGCTGTGCAAGAACGATGTCCTCTCCTGCCTGCATCTCTCCGCTGGAAAGTCTTTGCAGCCGATAACCACTCTGCTGATCTCCACCCAAGCATATAGCCGTTGTTGCCGGTGATGACAAAGTAACGCTTACGCCTGATTGTTGCGGGGACTCGGTGTCCTTCTATTACCTATACACTATGTTATACTCTTAGAGCCTGTTTGTGCATGGTGGTTCGGTGTTTCTTGTTTCGGGCTGCTTGCTAATTGCCTTGCTGGGTCTGACAATGTCAGTTCCTTGCTCGTTCTGCTGTACTACTACAGGCACGACTGTAATGCTAGCAGTACCAATGACCAATGCTCTGCTACTTCCTTTTGCGACGACGACCTAAACACCACTGCTGCAACTGCTGCTCCTCTTCCTCCTCCTCCCCCTCCTCCTTGCTCTCCTACTGTAGGTCGTCCCCGTTTTGCCATGTCGACGAC